TCCTCCTTCCTTCTTCTTCTTCTTCTTCTTCTTCTTCTGGGTTCGGTTTCTCTCTTTTTTTTTTTTTTTTTTTTTTTCTTCTTCCTTCTTCTTCCTCCTTCTCTTTCCCTTCTTTCCTTCTTCTTTTCTTCCTTCTCTCCTTCTCTCTTCTTTCTTCTCTTCTTCTTCTTCCTTCTCCTTCCTCCTCATTCTTCTTCTTCTTTCTTCTTCCTCTCTTCTTTTGGGTTCGGTTTTTTTTTTTTTTTTTTTTTTCTGTTTTTTTTCCTTCTCCTCCTTCCTTCTTAAGAAGGAAGGAAGAAGAAGAGAGAGGAAGGAAGGAAGGAAGGAAGGAAAAAAAGGAAGAAGAAAAAAAGAAAAAGAAGAAAGAGAAGAGAAGAAGAAGAAGAAGAAGAAGAAGAAGAAGAAAGAAGAAGAAGAAGAAGAAGAAGGAAAGAAGAAGAAATTATTATTTATTAAATATATTTATTTAAATATTTTTTAATATTATTTTTATTTAAAAATTTAATTTTTTATTTTTTTAATGACACGTGGCGTCCAATCAGGGCGCCACGTCATCACTTAACGGGAGAACTAACAGTTTGACTAACAGATGTATGAGACTTTCCCAAAATTTACACTTTAGGTATGACTCTGGGACGAAAAAAACTTGATGTACTAAATGTTGAAAACCACGAAACATGAGGGTGGTAAACAGTCTTTTACCCTAAAAATTAAAAGTAAGAACCAAATAGTTTTACATCGAATTGGATGTGGTCTGGATTCATGGGTCCAAGGACTTGTATGCCCACACTTATACAACTCATACTGTTTATCTTAAAGTTAGGGAAATATTATTGACCTTTAAAAAATCTAATTGTGCAGCCACTTAGTATTACGGTCTGGTAGTATTTCTCTTTACTTGAAAGTGAGAGATCTTAGGTTTGAATCTCGTGGATGACGAATTTGATACCAAATTAAGTAGCTCATTATGTGGTTTAGCCGATCTCCCCCTCCCCTTAAAATAAAAATATCGATGTACTTGAAAAAAAAAAATAAATCCGATGAAAGACGAAATTTCTACTGAAAAGTTAATTTCTCATTTTACTAAATTAATTATAATATAAATTAGTGTTAATTATCCCACATTGCCAACCCTCTCGAACAAAACGGCGTCGTCTTATAATTTTGTTAGGGAATTGTTTTTGTCATCTGGCTCCCTGGCTTTGGTTTCACCTTACCCTCTGGTTTTTTCTGCTTCATTATCCTCCACTCCACATTCCGCTGTTAAAAAAAATATTGCATATAAAAACCCTAATTTCACCACAAAAGTGTCGAAGACCTTTTTCCTCTGTCTATCTCTTTCTTCTATCCACTATCTATTTTTGGCAAAATTCAATTCGGAGAGCGCGACAAAGATAAAAGCAGCATTTGTCCCCGAATTTCACTAATTTTTGTGAAGGGAGGGAAGTTCATGGCAGGTTAGTTTGAATTTTCCCACCAATTCTTTCGTTCTGAATTTCAGTTATGCAATTTAATTGTTTTGGTTTGGTTAGGGTTTGATTTGTGAGCTTGGGATTGTTTGGTTGTTTGGGTTTTTTTTATTTATTTTTATTTGTAATTGGAGGAAATGGGGAAGAAGCGAACTCTAAAGCTATGAAATTTGTGTTGTTTTGGTGAAAATTCAGCTCCTTTTTGGTGTTTTTGGTTGGTTTAGTGGGTTTTGGAATCCATTGTTTGTTGGGTTGCTGGGAATTTTGAGGAAAGGAAAAAGGGGTACGAGTTTTCAAGCTATTGCTTAATTTTGTTTCTGGGTTTTTTTTTGTTGGTATAAGTACGATTCTATTATTCAAAATCTTCCTAGCTCGAGATGGATTGGTGTTCTTGGTTTTAATTGTTAACTGTTTGTGATAAGTTTATGAATTCTGTTTATTGGTGTTGAGTTGTTCCTTCTGCAAGAGTTGTTGTGCTTGCTGCGAGAGTTGGTGCTTATGTGTGGTTGTTTATGAAATTAGGCCCTGCTGAGTAAATGATTTGGTTGTTGAGGTGGAGACGATGGCATTGGTCGTGCATCAAATGCAGGTAATTGATATTAAGAGTACCCTGAATTTCATATTACATTGTATCCGTTTAACCTATTAGAGAGATGATCCATGTTTGCCCCTTGGTTTTCAGTTTACCTCGGCGATTTCTTGAATTTGGGATTGTATCTTTCTGCTACTAGCTTTCTCTTTTTATGCTGAAGTTTCTTCTTGTTTTTTTACCATTGCATTTCAGGGTACTTATGTTACGTATCCCTCGAGGCCCTTGTCATGGAGCAAAGGGATGAAGTTGAAGCAGTGTGTAACAACACATCAAATGGTGAGGACAGAGAGGTGCTTTATATTAAAGCGCAACCTTTGTTTAAGGTGGGAGTTTTTCCTCTTTAAGTTTGTTATCTTGTTAATTGTTCTATTTACTTTCCTTTAGGCTTCGTGGTTGTCATTTTGCATTGAAATTCTTCTACTTGCACTTGTGGGAGTCGCATATGCACTATGAGGGAATGGATACGCACACCCACATCCACACCAAATACACATTTTTTTTTATCTTGATCATTTAAATTCAGAGAACTTGTTTCACAGCGTAGGGGCTTCTCTCATGCGGGGACCAAAAGTTAAACCTTTCAGAGTTTCCGCCTTCAAGGGCAGTGCCCAGAATGATAAATCTGGAGGTAGAACAAGAGGATCAAAGCTTCCCAAGAATTCAGCCAAACTGAAAGAGAATGAGGATACCATTACGAAATCTCAGGCAAATGATATTCCTCTTTCTTATGCCTCTGAAGCAAATGAAAGCATTGCATCGTCCCCCATCATTCATAATTTATTTAAGAAATGGCTGAGAATGCTTCGAACACCATCATCAAGTGAAGTAGAAGATGGACTTTTGGGGGAAGAACCGCCTTCAATGGAGGCATCAGAAACTAAGCATGAGGTTCAAAACAAGGAAAAGGATGGGATTCTACGGACCTTTTGGTGCAATTTTCTCAGTCTAAATGTTACAATAAAGATACCCTTACTTATATTGTAAGTATAATGTGTGCTCTATCTCTCCTTCTGCTTGTCTTTTTTTCCAAGTCCACGATTATTCTGTTTGCACGAACTTTTAGTTTTATGGGGTTAACGTGAGACATCTTGGATTTATTTGCTTTTATCTACGACATGATTTTAATTGTTCACTAAATATGCAGCATACCCATGTACCTGGCAGTTAATACGATTTATGGGGCCGAAGTTTCAAAGGAGTTGACACCCTTGTGGGTTTTAGGACCCTTCATTGTAGCTCTCTACATCAAGATGCTTCAGTTGTTGTGTGCACTCTATGTTTTCAGCTTCAAGCAGACTGTTAAAGTAATCAAGAATTTACCCTCCTACTTCATGGTGGCCTATACATACATTGCACATGGGAAGCTTAAAGAGGAAATACGGACTCGTTTCTGGCAACCTTTACTGAACGTTAGGAATTTAGACTACAAGAAATTATCAAGAAGAAAGCTGAAAGCACTGCAAGAGTTGATAGTCGAGAGATACCTTGATTTTGTGGAATCAATATGGCCTTATTACTGCAGAACAATCAGATTCCTAAAGAGGGCTAATCTCATTTAGATGCATCTGAGAAATGTCTTCCTGTGAGAGCAACGGCTGAAAGTCGGAGTTGCTCCTGATGATGGTTTTAGAAGTTTGAGTTTCTTTCGAAGAGCCAGCGGACCCCATTTTAGACCGGGGTTGTTCTTGATGTCTAGCTAGTCGAAGGATCATGACAAGCGGATTTGTCCGGTTTCTGTAATTTTTACAAGGTAGCATTCTTAATTTTTGGATGAGGTCCCTATTATTTTGTATCTGTGTTGTATTCAGCTGCCGCGAATGCTTTTGAGGTTCCATGATGAGATGGGGTTTGGAATTGGATGTTGTAGAACTTGCTCTTTTCTTTTTTGTGCTTTGGTAGCTAGTCTGAGAATCATCATGCATATCACCTTAGATCTTCTGCATTCTTCCCCTATCCTTTCTTCCTCTCGTTCTTCGGAAAACCGATTAGGGTTTAAGCATGGATCGAGTTGTAGGGGCTCGATTGCTGGAATAGATAGAAGTAGGGCCGGGATGGATGCCCGGATGATAATGTACTAGAAACATCATGTGCCGGTGTGACTGCAACACTTCGAAACTTATCTATCAGCACCATACTAGGCTTGGAAATTTGCCTTCCACAAGAGTTGAAGAGAAAGAAGTAGAAAGGATTCCCTTGGGAAGCTTGTGTGGAAAGTACTTGTTCATATAAGCACCTTTCTTAGAAGTTATTTTGTTATGAACACGTTAAAATAAAGGGAGTTTTAACAAAACACTTCCCGTACTGTTTATTTTTAACGAAAAATCATATTTTTACCTTTAACTGGTACTATTCACTATACCTTTAAAAATGGTTTTTCGTTATAAGAGAATCTTTTTGAATTTTTCGTTAGTTTTCTTTAAAATAAAATATTTAATAAAAAATGAAATTGTTATTAATACTTTAAAAATCTTATTTGACACTTTAAACTTTCTATGATTGAAAAGAAAATACACGTGTAGAATGAGATTTTTGAAGTGTTAATAACAGTTCCCATAAAAAATTGTGTGTTTTTTTAATAAGCATCTAATATGTGTTTCTCCAGATAATGCTGTTACGACTCATAAACACCATTAACCTTTTCTGTTAAATGCAACTTGAAGCACTTTTATATTGCTTTTAGGCTTTTCAAAAACAATAGATGAACATGCCCTAAAGATATTAAAAAAAAGTGTGACTTCCATGTTACGTATTATTCAATGTGACGGGTATTTTAATCATTAAATTTAATTCACAACTGTTTAGATCTTCAATTTTCAATCTCAATCGTTGTTTTTCAGTGTTATGCAATATTAAGAAATTTCCGAAAAACAAAAATAGAGAAGACTCTCGTGAGAAGCAAAGGACGGAAAAAAAAACAAAAAATCCGCATAAATATAACGTAGGAGTAGGATTTGTCCAAAACGAAAGTCGTCCGCTTCGCCCCACCGAAAACACAAACGAAAGCCGCTATCTTTCGCTTCAATAACTCCAAAAACCCCCCACTCCTCAGTTTCTTCGAATTCCTTTACTTTCTCACCCTTTCCTTCGTTTTCCCGGAAATTTTTCTTCATGGGTAGCCTTAAATATTCATCGAATCAAACGGGTTTGCGTTATAATCCCGCAACATGCCGCCGTTGACTGTCTGACTGCCTCGGCTTGTTGTTATTGCTTCATAGATATGACGCTTAAATGTGGTTCTTCGTTTTCTTGCTTGGCCACTTCTCCTGCTTCCCATTGCCAAACGAGAAGGGGTTCCCAGGTGCGTTGTAGGACCGTTTGGTTACTGAGAAAAAGTCTTGATATCTCCCAAAATTTTTGTTTTTTGTTTTTTGTTTTGATGTTTGCATATGAACTTGTGAGAATGTGTAGTGGGGTTGTTTCTGGTAGCTAAAAGGTTTGGAATTGGTGTATTTTTTAGGCCAAAAGGTGTGGAATTGGTAGGTGAATTTTGATTCTGCAAATACTGGTCAAAAAACAAAGAAGGAAAGAAAAAGTGGGATACTTTTTAAGGTCGTTTATGTAAGAAATAGGGTATTATGATGTTAAAGAATCTAGTTTGGGAGAGATTTAGTTGTACTCGGGTTCGTAGTATTCGAGTTTTTTCGATTTAGGCATGGCTTTGTGAGAAGCTAGAGGTATCTCTTGGGGCATTTATGCCGTATCAAGAGTAATTTGTTCATACCCTCTATTGTTTTATCTCCTACATGAATGAGGTAAATTTTTCTACTTATACTCAGCTTAAGCTTCTGGGATTGATTCACATTAACACATTTGAAATGCACCTTGTGCGGTAGATTTTACCGTTGTTGACTAATTGGTGTCATTTTGCTATGCTGAAGTAAACTATGCTCGAATTCACTTCCAATCGGAGTCATTTTCCTAAATAGAGTAATTTGTCTTGAGATTTTTTTAATCCACATCTAGTTGTCTTATATGACTCTTGTCTGATAATGTCAAATGACTGCCTCCTTTTAGAAGAACTTTATCGAGTCTTCAGCTTATAAATATATTTCCATTGATGTCCAGTTGAGCTTATTGCATGTACCGTACTGCAGCCAACGATGTGGTGCTCAGCAGCTAAGATATGTTAAAGGTAGCTTTCATATTTGGTCTATAATTACTGAAGCTTGCAATTTTTTTTTCTTTATGGTGCAATGTAGCCAGCATAAGAAGTGGTTTTTCCCCGAGGTAATGAGCATAGCGAAATTGTAGAAGCGAACCTATGGATTTCATTTTATTGTATCTACTTTTTCTAATTTGACCATTGTTAGGTAACCTTTTTACCAAATAGTTTTTGAACTGTAATGCCATTACTTTGAAAAGTGCGAGATTTTTTTGGCTCTAAATATGCTTGGTCTATTTTTTCTGTTGCTGTAAGCAGGTAATTCGTGCATGTTCAGACATCAAATAGGGCAGGCAAGCAAAAGGATTCCAAACAGTCACAGTGTTCTCTTTGCTGTTGCTGAAGACCAGTCAGAATATAGTGATATAAAACCAGATGCTAAGGAGCTAGAAAATCACTGTCCTAATTCTGAAGATATATTTCCTTCTAACAGTTCATATATCCATTTTGATGGTACTGGTGGAAAACCAGGTTTAGTCTCATTTTATAACCGACCATATAAAAAGGAAGAAGAAGTTTCTACAAATAATCCTGAAAGGAAGCAAAACAGCCTCTTATGGTTCATCGGTCCAGCTGTTCTCCTAGCTTCTTTCATTTTCCCCTCGCTCTATCTGCGCAAAATACTATCTACTATATTTGAGGATTCGTTGTTGACAGGTGAGGATGCATATTTATATGTCGTGATTTTATGTATATTAAAGTCCAGATATTTTTCATCACATGTTTTTTAACTAAATCCATAATTGCAGTAGATAGGATAGGCAGAACAGAAAATTTGTCTTGTCAGCTTGAGATTTTGTTTCCTTATATCTGTATACACCTTTCTGTGTATCACTTTCTCCACGCCACAACTTGCATTATTTTTTATTTCGCGTAAGACTATCTTGGGGTGTTGGAGTGACTCTATTAGAGTGATTATACTAGGATGAAAGTTAGTGCAGCCCACTAGAATGGATGAGGGTTAGGGAATCTAAATAGTTGTTGGTGAAGGAATGATCCTAGGAAACTTTAAGGACAGTTTTGCTTCTAATGAAAAGTGAAGGAGGAAGGGTTGGGTGACTGGAAGTGGTTTTGGGTGATATGTGACGTAGGTTAGAAAGTTTTAACTTGAATATGATAGAAATATACGAGAAAGGGGAGAAATATCTACAAGTGAAGGGCAATAATCAATTGAACATGGATGAAAATATTAAATAATGATGTGAAGTTCTAAGAAGTAATGTTAGATGTGGTTCAATGGACTGGCAAAGTAATGTCTGTTGTTGGTTCAACTCTTGGGAATAAATGAATGTTGGCATTATGTAAACAGTTGACATCTTCATAAAGTCTATAGCGTATCACAACTTTTGGCCTATATCCTTCTTAACATATACATTCTATTTTCCTTTGTGAACTCATTTAATTCTTTCAGTTTAGAAAGTAAACCTTTTTCTCCTGTCTAAACCATAATATGTTTCTTCTCAGATTTTCTCATCTTGTTCTTCACGGAAGCTCTCTTCTACAGTGGTGTTGCGGTGTTTCTTCTTCTGATTGACCGTTTAAGGAGGACAACTGAACCAGAATTGGTTGTCCCCAGTAACAGAACCCCAGCCCCTCAATTAGGACAGCGAATCTCGTCTGTAGCTTCCTTGGTACTCAGTCTTATAATTCCTATGGTGACTATGGGTTATGTTTGGCCATGGACTGGCCCTGCTGCTTCTGCTACTCTTGCTCCGTATCTGGTTGGTATAGTGGTCCAATTCGCATTTGAGCAGTATGCAAGATATAAGAAGTCACCTTCATGGCCCGTTATCCCGGTCATCTTTCAAGTAAGCCAATCCTTTCCTTTTCACTACGGATGTTGCATAAAAATTGAATTTGATTGTAGGAAAAATCTTGTGTCTCTTGTTGTATGGTAGGTTGTTAGATTACTACCGGATGATAGTTCTTAAATTCTAGCCTGTCTAATTAGATATGCACCAATCAATCTCCGTCCTTAAACTGCGTGTGATTTAATAATCTCAGTTGAATCAACTTGAAAAACGATAAAAATGATATGAAGGACCTCCTGTATGTAGTTTATAATTGTGTACATATGCTGGCCTACAAATCAAAAGTTTTTTTTTCTGTTACGATTGGCAGGTCTATAGATTGCATCAACTGAATAGAGCAGCGCAACTGGTGACTGCTCTGTCCTTTACAGTCAGAGGAGCTGAGACAACACCGCACAACTTGGCAATAAACAGTTCCTTGGGTACACTGTTGAATGTCCTTCAATGCCTTGGAGTTATCTGCATTTGGTCTCTCTCAAGTTTCCTTATGAGGTTCTTCTCTTCCACCACTAATCCACCCTAAAGCCCGCAATATCATGTACGGATCATGTAACTCAGTGACACTATCATCAGACTTCTCTCAAGAAAATTAAATGAATCTCAGTTGGGTCCAGTTTCCTTTTTTTCCGTGGTTTAGTTCCGCTCGGGCGGGAGTTTGACAGCAAATTGCCATTGAAGTATTTGACTGGTCTCAAGCAAAGTTAGAAGGTAGTTGCAGGATTTTGTAAATGAGATTCTTAAAATGAGAGAGAGAGAGAGAGAGAGAGAGAGAGAGTACATAAGATTATTTTTGTTTCATTAAATCCTATTTGTTTAGAATTTGGCAGAGAACTCAGTAGCAAGCTCATCTGATTTCTTGATGAAACCTCATCAGAGTTTAGCAGCTAATATTGGTGACTGCTCTGTCCTTTTACCTAATATTGGTGACAGAGAACTCACTTGTCTTAGTAACCTTTTACCGAATTAAGTAATATTGTGGTGGTTCTTTTAGCGGCATTTCCCTTCCTCTACAGGGAATTTTGCCGGAAAATCAAGATGTAGCGATAAAAAGGCTGTCAAAGAAGTCAGGGCAAGGACATCCAGGAGTTTTGGAATGAGTTGGAGCTTATAGCCAAGCTTCAGCTTACCAATCTTGTTAGGCTCTTGGGTTGCTGTGTCGAAGAGGAGGAACTGCTAGTGATCTACGAGTACATGCCCAATCGGAGTTTGGACAAACTTTTGTTTGGTATATCCTCATTATTTCTAAGATTTATATTCTTTGATTAGGCTTCTCCATCGACAAAACACTAGCTCATTGTCCTTCATGGTTTGTCCAACCAGATCCATGTGAAAAAACAGAACTAGATTGGGGAAAGCGTTTTCGAATTATAGAAGGTGTCGCTCAAGGAGTACTCTACATCCACAAGTACTCTAGACTGAAAATCATTCACAGGGAACTAAAAGCAAGTAATGTTTTGTTGGATGGCTCGATGAACCCAATAATATCAGACTTTGGAATGGTAAAGATTTTCGAGATAAATCAGACCGAAGCAAATACCAATAGAGTTGTCGGCACATTGTAAGGATATATGGAACATGCTTTCAATCATCTAAACCTTACGCAATCACTACTTTAGTACCTTTGCTTATCGTACCATTAACTGATGCAATGGCTACATGTCTCCCGAGTATGCAAGATATGGCCATTTCTCTGAGAAACTGGATGTATTTAGTTTTGGAGTGCTGTTGCTGGAGATTGTGCGTGAAAAGAAGAATGCAACTTTTTATCGCTTTGAACATTCACCAAGTCTTGCTGGATGGATAAGTGCTAAAAAAAACATTCCAACTTATGATCATTCAATATTTAATCCTTGCAACTGCAAATAACCGCAAAATTCAACATTTTAATTAGGCATGGGAGTTGTGGAAAGAAGGAAGAGGAAAGGAGGTGATTGATGAAACACGTCGGCCTGATGAAGCTTTAAGGTGTATCCATGTAGGGTTTTTGTGTGTTCAAGAAGCTCTAGCTGATCGACCAACAATGTCTTCAGTGATTTGTATGCTGTAGAGCAATGAAGCTACATCTCTTCCACCTTCCAAAGAACCTGTCTTTTCAACACACAGGAATTCCAGTTTTGTTCGCTCTTCTCGAACTCCAACCAATTTTTCCCACAACTCAGTCACCATGAGTTTGCTAGAAGGTCGATAGGGATTGGAAGAGAGTGACTGGCAAGCAGATGAGAAAATAGTGTATTAAATTAGAAAACAAAAACAGCCCGAAACTAAAAGTTTTATACAAACACTTGAAGGGCTCAATTGGAATATGTTCATGATGATGTTGGTTTTACTATGTGTGTTTTTGATGTGTGGAGGTACATCATAAGATTGGTGTAGTGATATACACTTAATCAAAGAGTGTGATAAGATGTCTGACTTATCATAAGAGTTATAACCCTTTTGTAAGTGATATATCTTATCATGAAGTCTAACAACTCTCTCTCAAGAGTAAGATGAAGTCTACAAAAGGAGGATTCATTTCTCCAGACAAATGATCCAATATGAAAACAATTTCTCTCTTCTTCCCTTGGGTGTGCGTAATCAATAGTCTAACGACATTAGAGATTGATCCTGTGAAATCCTACAATCCAAACTAAACCTAATAGCACCAAATTTTTATTGTTGTTCAGCTGCAGATGTGGGTGTAACTATATCATAAAAAGACAAGTACACTGAACTAAAGAAAAAAGAGGAAATTTTCAACATCGTCCAACTTTCACAAAACAAGTACACTACACCGAAAACTAATTTGTCTAGAACAAAGAATTTCACATTAGAATATTCATAATTCACAACATGGGTTTTCCAGGGTTGGAATTGCAAATTATACAATCTGACATTGATAAACATCTACCGAATAGCAAGTTGACAACTTGAGCTACAAGTAAAATATGTGTTCAACAAATCTTTTATCAACGAGAATTCGAACTTGAGACATCTGGACCACTTGGTGCGTCAGATCATGTTAAACTTTACTTGTATTAAAAAGAGGATTGAGCTGTGATGATGATGGGCTTTCAGGGAGCAGAGGGATTGCTTGGCCTGCAAGAATAATTGGATTCATAGCCTCAACATTCCTTTTGTCCGGCTGGGACACATTCACCAGTCTGCTCAAACCATAGAGAGACTGAATGCACCCTGCAGATCCAGAAAAGAAAAGGATGTGTGTACCGGACGGGATTGCTTGGCCTGCAAGAATAATTGGATTCATAGCCTCAACATTCCTTTTGTCCGGCTGGGACAACATTCCTTTTGTCTTCTTACTGACAGAAGCATTGGAAAGTGAAGGAACAAAAGTTTACAATTTTTCTTCTGTAATACGTTCTACTGAGTAGTCCGGAAAGTTAACAGTTAGATCTTGCATATAGGGATCTAATGGATCTTTTCAATGATTAGATCGTGTATAAAACTCGTACCAATGAGTGAGAAGTAGCATTGTATCTACTGGCAGCTACTGGTCAGAATTAGATTGGGGAAATTTTTTTCGGATGACAGAAGGTATTGCTCAAGGAGTACTATATGTCCACTAGTGCTCTAGATTGAAAATCAGTCAACTATACATTATCTGTTGAGACTTGAGAGACAAGCAATTGCAAAACAATTTGGAACATCTTTTGCTGTTGGGAAAACTTCTCTTTGTTCTTGTTTGGTAATCAGGGAAAACTTCCCTTTTGTCTCTTTCACTTGGATGCAAAAATGGCCTCTAAATCTTTGTACAGCCCTTTTGATTTCGATTTATAATCAACAGAAGAATTTGGCGTTGAGGAGCTCCCGCTCCCTTTCGCACTCCAAAACCCGCTCCATCTGGTTCGAGTGTGACTACTCGAAGGATCATTCGTAACTCCACTTCCTTCTTTACTAAAGCTAGATTTTGCCATCTCCCTTAGTTGTTTTAGCCACGGTTTATCTGTTGCAGCTGAGCTCCGGTAACCTCCTGTAGATGAACTAGGATCCCTCGTTGCTCCCTCGGTCTGCTGACTCACTTGGAACTGGCTCTCCACTTGGAACTTGCTTTCCAAGGTATTGATCAATTTCCGCGGCATGAATAACAGGAGGCATCCAACTGAAGCTAATTTCAGACCCGTTAAGAAGTTCTCAGCAGGATCCAGCAGCAATGTTTGTTTGTACAATGCATACCATTCATTAATCATCTGTGCAATAAATCCGACTAGGAATAGAAATAGCATGAAAAGTCCAAGTTTAGTCTTGTCGCCGGCTGAAAAATCCTTCTCCAAGAGAAGCAAGCATGTTGCAAATAATCCGACTTCACTGGAAATCGAGATGATCTCCACCAGCTGAACCTTTTTCTTAATGAAAGGCTTCTTGAGAACAATGAAAAAGAGTTGGAAAGAGGTTATGCAAAGTAAGGTGATCGAAGGAGTTTTCGAGGACCATTTGTCCATGTAGACACCAGCCATGATCCCAACAGCAACCCTTTTCACGCATTCCAGCAGCGTGTAGTATATTCTCAGTATTCCAAACACCTTTTGGATAAAAGGTGCTTCTGCATCTTCTGTTTCATCATCGGAAGCTATGATGGAGTCCCCATGTTTGCCAGCATTGCCCTCAGAAATCTGAGAGAGCATGTACTTTGGGGGGCCTCTTAGATCTTCAAAGAGAGGGCCGAAAATGATTAGATAAACAGACTTCTGTTGACCTTTCCATGTCCACTGACCTCTTTTGCCCGGACCTAGGGTCACCCGGACTAGCTCTTGATACCAGTGAAACTTCAGGCCTTCGCGATGCACTTCCTTGTACTGAAGTAGCTTTCCGAATGTAATGCCAACTGAGAGGAACAAGAACAAGGCGAGCAGCAGAAAAGATATGACAACCAGCAACAGACTGCCAACTATAACCCCAGATGAAACTCCTCCTAGAACAGTCAAATGAAGATTTGTTTACTTTCCGAAAGTCTTGAATGAGAACAAAATAACAACAAAACTGAATGTTTATTGGGATTCTAGTTTGAGGAAATAAACGGTTTATGATTCAATGCTGATATCCAATTACTCGTCTGGTATATACTAAAACATGAATTCGAAAATCTAAGCAAATCTAAAGATGTTTTGATTCCTGCCAAAGAAAAAACTTAGAGAAATGAGAGGACGAAAGAAACAGTATCAAGTAAATTGTACCTCTAATTAGAGCAGCAGAGGCCTCACAAATACAAGGCAATGCAAGAATTACAAGAAATATCTCAAATCTGGGGAATGTGAGTGCTCCATAACATCCCCGTTTCTCAGAATTTTTCCTCAGTTTCAAGATAAAAAGAACCAAAAGACGTAACAGAATCAAACTGCCACAAATCACAGCTAACCAGAACATCGTTCTATCAAAATTCCTCCACCTACACAGGAGACAAAATCTTTAGAAAAGTAACTTGTCTCTTTATACTTCGCCTGAGATTTAACACAAGGTATTAATCAAAAGAAGAAACCGTAGCAGTAGGAGTACAAAATTTAGTAATGACGTTGTAAGGACCATGATTAGCATATTTTGCAAAGTTAATCCACAAAATCTTCACAAATATGTAGAAATTTGGATTGCGTTTACTTCTTCGGCATGCCGCATGCCTATTGAATTTGTGTTTATTCCTCCCACTTCAAAGTATCTGCGTTAGAAACATATCTACAAAATAAATACCATTAACTTACCGGTTAGCATTATAAGGATTGGAGAGATACTCAGCTTCAGGTGTAATGTTTTCACCGTCCAACTGCAGAATGCAATTATCATAATTATATCCACCGGACACTAATAGAAATCGCTAATTACAAGAAAGGCCAACGTTTATCACCTCAAAAAACATTCTGTATTCTGTTGGACTAAGTGGCAACCCGTATAGTGAAGTATCCTTCTTAAAACTCTCTTCTTCTAGTTGCACACCTTGCAAAATTTCGGAGCTATAATTCTCGATCATGTAGGAACTCGAGCTGGTGAAAGGACTAGAGACTGGGAAGCCATTCCCTGATTCCCATGGGAGACTATAGTAAGGAATGCTCCACTGTAAACCCCTTACTAGTTCATAATAATTAACGGGTAGCGTAACTGCCAACCATCTAGAGAGTGCAAAAACTTGAATATGGCAAGCAATTCTCTGGATAAGAGTAAAAAAGAGAAGTACATAATTAGATTTACAATGATGGAAAAATGGTGAATCATACAAGTATCTGTTTATTAAGATGATGCATCAAAAGAAGTTGAGTGTCGTACAAAAAGATTTCTTGCTGG